TATATATATATATATATATATATATATATATATATATATATATATACTGAAATAACTTACCACATACTACTTGTACTATTCCTACTTTGCGTTTTCACTTATCGCGGCGGGGCTGAGAACAGAACCCCCGTGACAAACGAGGGACTACTGTACCACTTTTTTGACGGAACACTGACATCTTCATTTGAATTTGTTTGATAAGGAATGAAATTCTGATGAATTAAAACACCATAAGAAAAGAAAACAACAACAAATGACAGAATTTATTCAACTTTTCATAGAAGCATAAGCTAAAATGGTCCATAATCAAACTTGAAGTGTTTTTTCTTTTATTTTGCAAAGATCTACTAAACTTCAGAAGTAAGACGGTCTCAAGATGTTGCACCTTGGATGGTTAAATCCGAGGAGTATCACAGAAACCAACGTTTGACTTACTTGAACCTTCCTCTGTCACCATGCCAAGTCCTTCTGCTTTGTTTTGCCTCTCAAATGCGTTCAAATCCAGGACACTAAGGGAACAAAATGATGATAGTAATTAAAACAATGGATAAATTGTGTTTGGTGTTAAATACAGTGTGAATGCTCAGAGCTGCTGACGTGAAGTTAAAACTGAGAAGGTAAAAGAAGCTAAATGTTAGCTAAAAATCAATTAGTATCAAAAGCCTGGCTAAGAACTTTAAGTAGCGGAGGGTTGTCCAATCCCGGTCCCTGAGGGCCACTACCCTGCAGGTCTTAGAGGTTTCTCTGCTCCTGATTTGAATCAGTGGGTGATTCACAGCCTTCTGCAGAACACAAAGAGGTAATTTAACAATTGAATCAGGCATGTTAGAGCAGGGAAACAAGTAAAACATGAAGGATAGTGCCCCTTCAGGACCCGGATTGGACACGGCTGGACTAGCTAAAACCTAAAAGTAGCAGAACAGTAGCTAAAATCTAGAAGTAGTATACTAAGGTAATAAAGGAGCACGTTTTTTTAAGGAAACAAAAAAGTTCATGCTCAATAATCCAGGTAAAAAAAAAAATATGAAAAAATTAATAATTGAGTTACAAAAATATCACTCATCTCCTGAACGAGCACAACTAAAACAAAGTCTGCAGAGGTGGTTGGGTTGAAAATCAGTGCTGACTGAGCGTTCACACTCTTGGCACCATGTTTGTGTTCGATGCACGCAGACTCGTTCGGCACCACCTGACCTGCAAGACTGCATCAGTCCTGACAGACTCTTGAAGAAGCCTGCGTCTCGTTTCTCTTTCAAGTAATCGAGCATTTTCTGCGATGAGAGAAGAGCACAACATAAAAACATGGCTACGCCACGCCACCTGTGTATAAACGTGCACGTTAAGTCCGTGCTGGATGAGCTCACCTGCTGAACTTGCACATTGCCTCCGTTTAGGATGGAGATGCCCAGTTTGAGAGTGCAGGTCACCATGGAGCCCAAACGACCTGATGGTAGAAACAGAACATCCGTCAGAGCCAGCAGAGGCTGGGAGCAAAAAAAAAAATTTTTTTAAACAGATCACAACAGTTCTGTATTTATTTATTTTTAAACAAATAAGAACTGAAGTCATGGCAAAAAAAAAAAAAAAAGTGCATTTCCTTATGCTTCATCCCACTTGCTGACCAAGGAGGCGAGTACAATACTGCTCAAAAATCCAGCAAAGTCAGGTCATCTGGACGTTTTGTTTTTTGTGTCGAGACGTTTCATCCTTCATCCAAAGGACTTCATCAATCTGAGGAGCCACAACAACCCCAGTCCCACAAGCAGCACAAGACAGAGAATTCAGGATTTATCTAAAATATTATTAAATATTATTACATATGTATTATCCAGGCAGCACGGTGGTGCAGTTGGAAGAGATGCCACCTCTCAACGAGCAGGTCGCCGGCTCAAATCCCAGCTGGGGGAGCTTTTTTTTTTTTTCTCTTTCTCATTGATTCATTCATTTAAAAGAAACAAAACAAATTCATGAAGAAGAAAAAAAAAACAGAACGAACAGTGTGCAGAAAGAAGAAGACAATTCTTATCAAATCTGACCCTTATTCATAAAATAAAATGACTACAAACAAACTACGTAGGTTTGAACGATCTCCAAAGTGAAAACAAAAAATACGACGCATCCTTCACATGGCACCATACTTTCCCAACAGTTTTAACTTAATCTTTTTAAACATATAAATTGTTCTGGTGATATCAAGGCAATCCTACTCCCTGAATTACAACGCAGCTCCTTCAGACTAGTTCTAACTGGAGGTTTTACAAACATTTCTGGGTGGAGTTTGCATGTTCTCTCCGTGGGTTTTCTCCGGGTACTCCGGTTTCCTCCCACAGATCTAAAACATGCACGTTAGGCTGATTGGTAACTCTAAATTGTCTCTAGGTGTGAGTGAGACAGTGAACGGTCGTTTGTCTCATTTGACTCTGTGTGTCTGTGAAGGACTGGAGACATGTCCAGGTGTGTCCCCCGCCTCTCACACAGTGATGGCTGGACATGAGCGTCAGTGACCCCCACAACCCAAAAAGGAAGCAGCGGGTAAAGATGGATGGATCTCTCAGAATATGAGACTTGTTTAAAGGTAATTTTTAATCAAAATAAAAAAAAACATTCACAACAAATAAAGCACCAACTGACTGTAAAAGATCTTTGTTTAAAACTTTAGCATGCAAGGCGGCGGGCGACATGCATTCCTTCCTGGTATGCTCATCTAATTTTCTACCTTTACTAGCACTGATCATCTGCAGCACCATTTCAGCGGCTCCACGAGCGTGCAGCCTCGCCTGCTGATACAGGATTTTCTGCTTCTCCATCTCCTTTTCCTGAAGGTGAAAGACGCACACGTGCGCAGTTATTCACCATTTTTACAACCCTTTGACCAACGTTGCACGAACAAAGTACCTCAAATGTTTTTTCCTTCCCTTCTTCTTCCTCTTCTTCCTCATCCTCTGCACAGCTCTGAAAAACACAAACGGTTGGAGCTGAATCTGTTGAATTTGTCAAACGCAGTGATATTTTCTGAGGTAGAAGACCTTTGCCATCATGTCTGCATATGCGATATATAAAGGATCTTCTTCCAAGTGGCTGAAAAGAAGCAAAGACAGATTGTGTTTGTCACAAACTGATGTTAAAATAATTTTACGTAACTTTATAAAAACTTGTTTTCTGGAATGCAAAGGTTGCAGACGGTTCAAGTGGACGCTCGCTGTGACGTTGACTCATGAAAACGGTCTCACCTCCTCTCCGTCAGAGCGTTGTGGCTGAAGTGGAGGATGAGTTGGTGCAGAGGGTCAGGCCGGATCTCAGCCGTCTCCTCCTCCTCTTCCTCCACTATCTTCATCGGCGTTTTCTGCAGAGGTCCACACGCGAAGGAGTTAGCTCCACTCAGTTTTTTTTATTTCAACCACAATAAAAAAAAAAAAAGTTTGAACGTCGTGTAAAATGAGAAAAAAACAATGCAGCCATTTACAAATCTTTAAAGCTCATATTTTATCCACACTGGAACATAAACATGTTCAATTTGGAAACAGTAGAATTTTGTAGGAAAAATATAACGGCAGCAGAAACAAATCTCAAAAAAGTTGAAACGGGGGCAACAAAACGCAGCAAAAGTAAATTGTTCAAACTCAACAGCTGGAGAAGTTTTGCACCAGCTCAGTAAGAGGACTGGGTAAAAACATTTCAGAGACGATGAATCCCTCAGACGTAAAGAGGAGCAGGGGTTCACCTGTTTGCAAAAAACAGTGGAATGTTTTCAGAATAACAATAAAATGATGAAAAAACTGAAGAATTTTAATATAGCGTCTACAGTTCTTTTATTTATTTTCCTCATTTGGCTGCTCCCTTCCTCAGGGGTTGCCAGAGCGAGCAAACTCACAAGATTTAGCTTTGAGCCAGATGTCCTTCCTGACGCAACCACCAACCACAAAGCTACCACAGCAGTCGGTGTGGAGCAGAGGGCTGCTATCGAAGGCACCCTTTGATAAGGGATGGGTTCAAAGGTCCAAAGTGAGGCAAATGAGGGTGGAGGCAGGTGTGAGTGCTTCACCTTTCCCACGTAAATGTTGATATAAAAGTCAGGGGATGCAAACGAGTGACCTCTTGATCACAGGTTTGCCTTCTCTACCGTCTGTGTCACCACTCCCTTCTCCATCATCCACGCTTCATTAAATCATTTAAAACATCTGGAGACATCTGTGAATTCAAAGCTCAAGACTGAAATTTAATTTTGGATGCCCGTGATCGTTGCGCAGTTTTAAAGTGCCTGCGACAAAAAAAAAATTCATAGAACTTGTAAATGCATGGATAGATATTATTAACATACTGCACAAAATAATTCACTCCTCTGAGATGAACACTTGTTGAGATATTTATATGCACAGTAACAGGAAGTGATGACAAAGAGGAACGGCTACGTGTAAACAAAGCACTGCTACATTTGCTGACAACACAGAGCAGAGAAGAATCTGACGTTTCTTTGAATCATTTTCAGTCACTATCAGAGATGACGACGAGTCGGGAGTTCAAATAATATCGTTTCATAAACAAAGACCAGGACTTTCCCCCAAGAGTTTACATTTGATGTCACTTCCTGTTTCACTTTGGCTAAGTTCAAAAGAAAATATGCCAGTTATGTGAATAAATGGGTAAAAACTTGTGAATTATGCCAAATTTATTTAATATTAAGATGTTTTCTTCAACATTTGGCACCTTAAAAACAGGTCTGATTCTGTTCTGTGGGCTCAGGAACAAATCCACAAATCACTGTCTGTAAATGCGTTCTCTGTGCCGTCCACGAATGCAGGTTAAAGCTCTATCAGGCAAAGAAGAACACCATCCAGAGACAACACCATCTTCTCTGGACCACAGCGTATTTTAAATGGACTGAGGCGAGGTGTACGGTTGTGGTCAGACAAATCAAAATGTGAAGTTCTTTTTGTAAACTACAAATTAAAGAGAAGAGGGACTGTCCAGCCTGTGGTCAACGCAGTTCAAAACCTGCTTCTCTGATCATATGGGGGTGCATTAGTGCCTCTGGCATGGGCAGCTTACACATTTGAAGAGAGGAACCATCAATGCAGAAAATTATATTAAGGTTTTAGAACAGGGGTCTGCAACCTTTTAAATCAAAAACATCATTTCTACAATTCATTTATTGAACAAAATGTGGCTACAGCTGCAAAATCAACTGGTGGCTCATGGGCCACTTCCAATTTGTAGGAAGGGGTTTTTTTTTCAGCCTGGGGGGGTGGGGGGGGGGGGGGGGGCTTTATTAAACAAAAATTATATAATGAATTTCAAAACTAATAATTTTACAGTTTATGGCTTAAGAAAAGACCACATTCATGTAAACAAGAGGAAAAAAATACACATTTCATGCCAATTTTACCAAAACAAATTTAACCCAGAACTTTGCAGGTTTATGAGTCTTCCTTTGAATTTTAGACAAATAAAAATAAGTATGTATCCCACTTTAAAGTAATAAAGCATAAATGTAGTCTGTCTAAATATTGAGCCGTTTTGTCGGATTTGTCATTGTGACATAAAAAATTTAATTTAAAAACTAATTTTGTTTTTACCGGTACTTTAATTAATTAATTTAATTAATGTATTGTATTTTTATTATATTATTTATTTTATTATTATTTTAATTATTTATTTATTATTATTATTATTATTTTAAACTTATTTTCATTCATTCATTCAACATATTTCTTCTCGGCATATTGTTCTAAAAGGGATTCCAAAGAACTTCTGGTGGATTTGAGACAAAGATCCCACTGTGAGGCCAGAAGTTGGATAAATAAAGTAGCTGAAGCTAATCAACATTATTTTCTCCTTGTTTTAGTAATGTATTTTAAAAGTTTGCAGACAAACTGCTAAATCTTTCCATTTCTCTTTACTGTGGGTATAAAAACAATGAATTTACATTTTGCATTATGTTTGGTCAAAGCATCAAGGAGCCGCAGATTGCAGGCCTCTGTTTTAGAACAAGCATTCCTATCCAGATATTCTTTTTCAGGGAAAGTATTACACATTTGAAATGGAAAATCCAGCAAAGACAACCCAGATCTACTGAGCAGCTAAAATCCAACATTTGATTAAAAAAAAGGTACAACACTCTCCTCCAAAAACTCCAGCAGCTGCTCTCCTCTGTTCCTAGATGTTTACAGACTTGTTTTTGAATGTCCAGAGGACCAGATTTAACTTTTTTAGATTTTTCTACCTGGATTATTGAGCATGCATCAGGATGTTGTCAAGAGAGGGTGCCTCTCAGAGGAAACTTGGCCCTGTCAATGTTTTTGAGACGTGTTGCTGCCATAATATTCAAAATGACACTTTACTTCATAAAAAGTAATCAAAACAAAAAAAATCAACATTAGATGTGTTTACTATGTTCCAGTGTGAATAAAATATGGGTTTCATGAGATTTGCAAATCATTGCTTTCTGTTTTACACTTTGTCCAAACTTTTTCAGAACTAGCGGTGAACCACTCATCTCATAACAGCCTTAAATATGCACCTTATTCAGTATTTTAAAAAACAGTTGCACACATTTACATTGTTTTCCTTAATAAAAAATAATAATAAAAATAAATGCACTAGCATGCAGATGAACTGTTTTAGTCCCGGTGATTTGTGGAGAGGACAGTGAGGTCAAACAATGGATTGTGACCAGGTTTTCACGACATGCTGCAGCAGCACATGATGCAAGCAGGAAGCTGTTAGGGGATTCCTTTAAACATGAAAACAGAGCCTCAGAAGGAGGGGCAATAACTAAAACAAGCTAACCTGACAGGTCACCGCTAATTTCAGTGAGTTACTGTGGATAAAGCTGCACTTTACTCGAGAATATAAGAAACTTTTTACAGTTGACACATCAAAAAACATCTAAAATGAAATCCTCACAACACTACGCGAGCATGCCATTGCCACTGTAACGTCACCTTCACACACGAGTACAGCGAAAGGACAGCTGATGGGTTCCAGGTCAAACAGCTACAGACACTCCTACTTGTAGTAAAATCCCTCCTTACCACTGTCAGAACGCCATAGCCTGCTTTTCTAAAGCTGTGAGCGCTGGAGCTGGCCCTGTGTCTCCTGAGTTGATCATGCAGCCTCTGACTCCTGACGGATCTCTGCCCGAGGGGCTTAGCATGCCTACAGCGAGAGCCCCTGGGCGCTCTGAGCGAAGCCCCCGCTCGGACGCGCTCCCAGGGCTCGACGGGCGCGGAGCTGACGAAGCATTCTGCAGACAGGACCGGCAGTGGGGCGCCAACGCAGGGCACACAGCGCGCGGGCAAGGCGAGCCCAGTACTTACTGCCAGATCCTGAACTAGCTTCTCCTCAAAGGAGTACTCCTCTGCCTCTATCCAAAGTCTCTCATAGGCCGGGATGAAGAGGTTGATAGCACGATGCCTGGGGAGGTGGAGGTTAGGGGGAGGTGGGGAGGAATGAAGAGGATGGGGAGGGAGGGACAGTGGCATTAGGGTGGGTTCTGGTGTGGGTGATAGTTTTATTTTATTTTTTGAGGAGACATGAGGGAGGAATGTCGGGGAGGAATGGGGCTAAAGCAGGGGTGTCCAAACGTTTTCATATGTGGGCCAAAACTATCAAGATGAAATGACTCGTGGACCATAAAAACGTGTCTCAACATAAACAATAATTTGGAGAAAGGAAAAAGTTGTAGATCCAAACAATTTAAATTCTCATTAACACTAAGCTTATATTTTTTATTAAAAAGGATTTGATTTATTTGATTAGTTGGGTCTATGTTTGTTGTTTTCTTGTGTTTGGAAAGTTCATTTTCGTATGTTCTCAGCAACAAAAGTGTAACTTGAGTAAGTGTCCTTTTAAAAAGGAGGTTGATCAGCCTTTTGGACCATGGACTGGCTGACAAATCATCCAGCTGTCAGTCGCTACAACAGATACATAGAAGGTTTGATAAAGTCGAGCAACTTGTATGCAGATGATACGTTATATTCATTTGAAAATGTCAAATTTCCCTCTTGATTATTTTATCAACTGCAATATTTAGCCAAGTTTTATGAATCATTATCCAAAAGGCTGCTTTCTGGTAGAAATCAGTAAAGGTTTTTGGTGATTTGGACCATGAAGTGAAAATAAAAAGATTATAGCCAAAGGTTTGTATTTTGTTTAAAAGAAGATTGTTTTCATATATTTTGCTGTTAAACCTAAACATTATATAAAAAAGGATTACAAACTAATTTGCAGAAAGTCTGCATCTAACTCTTAAGCCTGCTGGCTAAAATGATATTCTTAAACTGCAGCTGTGGGCCGCACAAAATCACGCCAAGGGCCGTAAATGGCCCTCGGACCGCACTTTGGACACCCGTGGGCTACAGGAAGTGCATTTCAAGCAGGGTGGTGATTGGTCAATGTGGGATCCACTGGCTCTTCTGACTGGTCATGTTTGGTTTCTAAAATGACTCGATTCCATCAGGATGTAAAAATTTCATATAAATTTCGAGGGATGTGCAGTTTTCCAACACAGCGTTTGATCAAAACTGTTTAGGGATCATGTAAAACAAGTTTGTTCATAAACAGGAACGTGTGTTGGGAAACTGAAAAGTTTTTTCCACTTTTCAAATAAATGTCAGGCTTTTTCTTGCAGACCAATCAGAATCAACAGTTGGTTCATGGGCAGAGGTCGGTCCGCAGCTTGGTAGATGAAAAGTGCATGTGAGGGGTTGAATACACGAAGCATTCGTCCCGTAGTGTCACTTTACCGTCAGCAGGGAGAACAGGCGGTCAAAGCTGGAGGCTTTGAACGCCTTTTCCAGCCAAACCTCCCGATAGCCATTCAGGAAGTAATTATTATTTTTGTATCTGAGGGGAGGGTGAGGTAGTGTTAAACAAGAACACAGAGGAGAGAATGTCAGTAGGGAGGTGATGAGGGGTCTACACGGGCAAACAGTCAAGAAAAATCCCCCATGTCTACATGGTGATTATTATACAGTTAGGATTAGACAAAGCAGTATTTTATAATGTTTTCAAAGTACAAGTGAAATAACCAAAGGTGCAACAGGTGAGTCGTTCCTCACCTGGGCAGGTTGTAAAGTGGAGCCATGCGGAAACAAGCCACCACGGCCCGTTTACGCTGTTTGGACAGCAGCTTCTGGCCCACGCACTTCTTGTTCCTCAGAGGTTGCTCAACCTGACATGAAGCAAATGTTTAAAAAAAAAAAAAAAAAAAAAATCACATGAACGCTCTTAACTCCTAAACTTTTATAGAATTAACTCACAATTTCTAAAGTGAAATGGCAGGGCGATGCTGTAAATGTTAAGAACTAGAAAAACATAGCACAGCGTGAATGATGAGCACTGAACGGCTGCTAAATATTTGCCAATGAAGTTAAAACTAAGATGTTACAGAAAAAACTAAATGAAAGGAAGCTAATAGGAGCAAAACAGAAGCTAAAAAAATGCTAAATGGGGGCTATAAGCAGGAACAAAACAGTAGCTAAAAGCAATCAAACTGGTAGTCAATATCTAAAAACAGTGAAAGGACTGGTAAAAGCTAAAAAGAAAAATATCGTATTTTTGCCCTATAAGTCACTTTTTGTGCATAATTTACATCCC